CGAGCAGAGGAGGCCAGTCTATCACAGGGCGAGCAGAGGAGGCCAGTCTATCACAGGGCGAGCAGAGGAGGCCAGTCTATAACAGGGCGAGCAGAGGTCTACGCACTCAAAGGGCAGCTCAGGGACACCAGCCCACCCAAATCAGATGCACAGGTCAGCCACACCCTCAGGGCGGCGAGATTAATCAGGGACAGGGCATAGATTCAGTCTCATTAGACACCTGGAGAAATGTGCGAGAGCAGTAAAGAGCTCCTTCACTGGCTCGCTTTGGGGAATCTAGCCACCAGGACAGCTGTGGACTGTTTCTCCACCACAAAGGAAAGAGGATATGAGCAGCCTCTCATTTTAAGGGTAGAGGGCAATAATGACTGTGCTGACCACAGACCAGCTATAAACCATTCACCTGAGAACCATTATCCTCACGCTGGGAGCCCGTAACCGCCAGCCTAGAAGAGTGAGGGCGTTTACTCTTGCAAATTGCAGCTTGTTGAATTAATAAATGAAACAGCTGGAGCAGGAAACAGTGAAAGTATGAAAAAAAGTGCTAAAATAGCGGTAAAAAAGTGAATGTGGCAGAATGATCCCAGGACTTCAGTGTCATTTCAAAGCATCATTCTGCATCGAAACACAGCACTGCATCCAAATATGGTTTTCAGCACTGCAGCTGCTGCTGACTCTGATGAATGATCTGTTGTGGGAACATAAACCCAGAAAAAATGCAATATAACCGCCAGCATTTACTGAAAGAGAATGAGTCAAACTCCATGGATATATTTGTTATGGAATGAAGACTGTAGGATTACAGTATATCGTGCGCTACAAAGAGAAGGAAAAAGAGAAAAATCCAGACCATGAGGAACACAGGTCAGTCCTGCATGTCGGGGACAAGACGAGCCGGTGAAGTGTGACACACACGTCAAGTCCCTGATACTGCTGCTGCATGACACGAGGATTTTTAAGCCTCGCACTGATATAGCGTCTGAGGTAAAATGGCAGGAGGGCAGCCCTGGATGAAACAGAGTGAAGCCAGTTGAAATCAAAAGGCTGCATACACCATTTACTGGCTTTATCCAGGGACTGAGACGATGCGTTTACGTCAATCCAGAAGCACTTCGGCTAAAGCTAAACAAGTCCAGCCATTATCGCAAAGCACAGTCCACTGCAGTTAGTCCTCTGATTGCCATGGAAACGGTGTACCGTTATAAACAGCTACCGTACCACTACACGATGGTCTGTGCACGAGGAGCACTGAAACCACTCAAGTCAATTTCTCAGGTAGGCGGTGGAGAGAGCAAAACAGGGTTAATAAAGGCTTGTTCTCAATACAGGCACAAAAAAATTATACTTTAAACCAGCACTGGACTACCTCCAGATAGTTAGCCAACTGGCTTCCTTCTGCCTAGTTTGCAATCTCTCAGAATCTTTCTTTAACAGTCCCTGATACCATGGTGTGTTTATCAAACCTTTCACCTAGCTAATAAAGACTTTAAGCCCTGGGATCCTGAGAATGAAGTCCGTGGTGGAGCAGAAAGGTGCAGATTTGTGTTTGCCGCAGTGCTGGGAATCGGAGTTTTGTGCACTGAAGGTAATTATACCACAGGCTGCTACTGTTCACTCACAAAAGACACAATATTCACTTACCATCAGATAAGTATAGTCAGCCCAACACGCAAAAATAAACTAATCCTTCAGTCACCAATTCCATCCATCCATCCATCTATTTTCTGAAACTGCTTGCCCTATTCAGGGTCCCGGGTTGTCCGGAGTCTATCCCAGAGGTTACGGGTGCAAGGCAGGGAACAACTCAAGATGGGTGCCAGCCCATTGCAGGCTACTCTTCACCAAAGCCCTCTAACACGAAATGTAAAAATACTCCATTAAACCTCACCTGCAATTAGAAAGTCAGATTTTACCCAGCCAGCCTCAATTAGACATTTAACAAGTTCAATTAATTAACAAAATTTGTAGTTACTTGTCTTGTTTCCTAGTAATGTTTCTTGTAATGTCATACCATGGAGGACTAATTTCCATTTCGAATGTTCTTCCACAGGTACATTCATGAATATGTAGGAGTGTAATTGTGTTTTCATCTACCCACATTTTACTGCAACTGCTGTGTTACTGGGAGAAGAGACAACTGTGGAAGAGTCTAGGAGTCGCAGAGGCAAGACAACAAGGACACCAGGCTTTAGAATAACACCGCTTCCTTCCCTAGCAGGTCGAATCCTTTGCTTTTCCCCTCTGTAACTAGATGCTTACAACACAGAGCTCCACTGAAGAAAGCTGCTTCACAGACTTCAGAGAGCCTGCCCTGCTCGTCAGGCAAATAGCGAGTGTGAGGGATGGATGAAGGTGTATGTTTGGAACTGGGGAGTCCTCTAATGACTCCCACGCAGCCATTGTTTTCCTATATTTTCTGGAACCCTCCTTCATCTTGGAAGGCAACACCAGTCATTGGCACACCAAAGAGGCCGTCTTCTTGATAACGGAATACTCTTTAGGGCGGCAGACTGAAGCTCGCTCTCCTGCCCCCCCATGTAACATCATAGGCCCAATGGAAAAGTCAGGGGTTGAAAAAGACTGGAGTCTACTACAAATGAACAATATCACAGCCTGGCCATAGACCTCCTACTGTAAGTCAGGCCTGAGGAATGGGAGAAATAACCTAGACTGCAGGCTTCAAATGGACTATGCCTGACAGGGACTTCTGCATGACCCCCATGGAGAGTTTCTTGGTACTGAAGCCACTGTCTGCATAGTCTTCAAGTGTCTTCAAACTAAATGATCTAAGGGCCCTGTTTGTAGAGTGACCTGGCCATTTCCAGCACACTAACAAACACAAAAGGGTCTCCCTTTTACGGTCCCCAGGTTAGAAACAAAATGATGCCAGTTTAATAACAAATGAAGTAATAATGTACAAAAATTATCAAAACACTTCCAGGAAATCCCATCATAGTTCCTCACTGAAACATTTATCACATCACAGAATGTACCCAGCAATGCATTTCCCATCCCAAAGTGCCTCCTGGTTAACCGCAGAACCTGTGGTTAGCAGTCCACCCAGTTAGTTCCATTAGTGACATCAGGATTAGGGTGTCTATTTAGCCGTTATTGACTAAAAGTTATTGAACAAAGGAGAAAGTTAGCAAAGTACTCTCTGGATGTGTGGAGAAAAAAAAATCCCCTCAGTAAATCAGGCAACCCAGTTGTTGTCCTAAAAAGAGTAGCTCTATTTCCTAGCAAATTCAGCTTAAAAATCTTAATCATGCGGCAGGATAACTCACAGTAGCCATATTGTGTACATTAATGCTGTCAAAATCCACGGTCTTAGTGTTTAAGATCCTCTAACAGATATAAATCATGGGTACATGAGCAGGAAGCAGATATTCCTGTTTCATAAGAGCCGAGAAGCTCAGCGGTATCAGAGGGATGGAGGGATGGAGGGATGGAGATTCCCTGGCAGCCGCTAAACCCTTCATTTTCATCAGGACAATAGGGCCCCTAGCCTCTCATTCCACACAGCCAATCCCCAATACTCTGATAAGCAGGCTATGTCCCGTCATCTCTCCATCCTAATTTGTGAAAGATAAATCATTATAGAACAACTTCAGTAATAATATATACTGTTTGCGCATGGCACCATATTACCATAGTACTGCCATCACACTCCATGTTTTCTTTCAACTGACTGTCCTTAAAGCTTCCGGGCTTTTAGAATCACATAAACATGCTGTGACTTTGAAACCCAAAACAAATTGGGGGGGGGGCTTCTCCTTGCATTGAAAAGGTCAGCCTATAGGCGTGTGAAGGAGCTCTGATTGGCCAGGGATGAAAACGCCTCTAACGGGCCACTTCCATCCAAGGTTCCCTTCTGTAATTATGCGAGGGATTATTATTCAGGTATCCAGGTACCCAACAAACAAACTGGTACAGTAACTGTGAAACGCATACCCTCCATAACCCATAGCTTCCACGTGGCTATGCTCCTCACTATCTTATGGAATTACTTCAGCCCTACTCTCCCATTTGCAGACTTAGATCTTCATCTTCTGTTTTGTTGTTGGTCCCAAGACTTAAACTTACCACCATGGGTTCTCAGGCATTTAGGGCTTGCTGTCCCCAAGCTGTGTAACTGTCTTTGTGACCCATACTCAAGTCCCTTCTTTTCTCTCTCTACTAGCCCTCCTTTTCTGGTCACTGACTCTCATTTTGTGCATTCTGTTTTTTACCATCGTTTGAGTTCGTCTACTGTCTTTGCCCATGTTATTTGTGATTATGCTTCTCCCATCATTTCATTTGTAACGATTACCCTTTGTTTATCATCCCTCTATAAAGCATCCGTGAGTTGGTGAAAGGCGTTATATAAATTACATTTTCTTGTTGTACTGTATATCTAAGAACAGTCTGCTATCTCTGAAGATACTTGAGCAAAGTGTGAATACCTTTATCGTCATTAGATGCATTACTCACGCTTGTTCAGCCTACACTGTGTTTAAAGTCTATCAGGTCTGGTAGTGATCAAACTAGCGTCCCTCAGCATACAAGTCTGTCCCCGACCACCAAGTGGAGGTCACATGTGTCACATTAGCAGATTAATCATTTAAGCATGCTGTTAAAGGTAGATATGTAAGAATACAATGACCCTTCTGAGATTTCTCCTGAAATCTTAGTTACACCATCAGCTCCATTAAACACTGTCTCCACTTTAACTGTATATCACAGCTGCTGGTTGAAAACCACTGACCCAACTGCTACATCTTGGCACCTCGAAGTCAAACCGGATGGGATCGTGTTTCAATCAGCTAATTAGGCACAGGGCCAGCTGCTCTCTCCTTGTAAATGAACAGCAGTTCTGTCCCCAACAGGGCTCACCTAGACTGCTAGCCATTCAGGCCCATTGAGTACCGGTTATGGATACTGACGCTACATTTAGACAGAAGGGGAAAAGAAAACCTTTACGGAGTTATTAACTGTTCTAGGGCGGAATCCACAACACATTTTCTGACCAGTATTGCATGAATTTGTTACAAGCCAGGCATATCTCAGGGAGTCGGACTGGGGGGGAGCTCAGCCACTGTTCTTCATGGGAGTCAGGTGATATACCGATGGCTGCTTTTGATGAATCATCCCACAGCAGATACTGTAGATTCATTTACATATAGCCCTGATTTGAGCCTTTCTACATACAGAGTCAACCAGAGGCTGACAGAACAACACAGCAAAGTAAGCCAGTTGGCGAACCGGCCTAAGTGTCCCACTCCCAGCCCAAGTCTCATCCATGAACATTGCAGGTGTTTCCCTTCCGTAATCCTGTCCCGTAAACCGTCCCCCTCTTTGTTTTCACTTAATCCCCGAAAAGAGGGAGTTCTCTAAAACCCAGCGTCACGTGGTACGCTTTCCCAAGCCACTAATCCTGGCACAGAACCCTTCTCCAGCCACAAAGCCAACAATGTGCGTGTCTTTTCTAGTTAGCAGCCAGCAATGATCTCTTAAAGCTATCTGAAGCAGAACAGTGTATGAACCATTTTACACTTACAATAAATCAAATTCCACTCTCAGGGTTGGACATGAAAGTTTACTGCCTCCCTTTTGACAGAGGCTACACAGTGTCAAAAACACTGCAAACTCTTTTCATTATTTCACAATTTATTCACCTGCACCTTGTATTCTATAGAAGACTAAACAAGACATACCTATAAATACATAAATGTAAATCATGACAAACATAAATAAAAAACATTCATACATTTTGGTCATGAGAAAATAGCATAATTAGGTCTACATTTATTAATTTATCTAGTTCTGAATTTCTGTATTTATACATTCATTTATTTATTTCTGTATTTCCCATTATCTTCATTTGTTTATTTCTGTCTCTTTATGTTAATAAGGCAGCTGCTCCTCGCTCAGTGCAGGACTGGCTAAAGAGGTGGAATCTTGTATCATTAATTTCTGTATTTCTATTTACACTTAAGTTTAGTCCTCCATAGTATTCAGGTTCTGCCCAAAGCCCAGAGATCACTAATTTCGCCTTTCGACTGATTTTAATAGAGTCATTTAGGGCAGGTAGAGGGAATGCATCCAGTAGATCAACTATTGATTTGTACTCCAACACCCCAACTGTAGCAAAACAGAAGCCAAAATGCCCTCTCTCCACGTTGCAATCTGACGTTTTCTGACCACAAAATATGACCCAGATATAGGCAGGCAAGGTTCCGGTGTGCATCTGAGTGAGGGGAAGGTTGTTATCCGCATCTAAATCTGTTTAGACTGACAGGGAATAGGCCCATCCATTGGCCAACTGGCTGTTAAAATCAAGTAGGAAATCCATCCTCTACGTCTGAGCTGTTCACAGCTTATTGGCTTGTCCGGACTGTGCGATTGGGCAGTCGGATTTAATGTTGGATAATTTATCAATAGCTATGCATCATTTCCTGGACAATGGATCTCCGTGTGGAAAAACCCACCATTTGCCTAATGAATATCACAGACCAGATGTTAAATCACTGCTTGGATAAAGAGCAGGTACTGAACCACAGATCACGATTTGGTCTTTGAACACACACTCGGAGATCTGAAGGTGAAACTTCCCACAAGTCTACAGAGTTACATGGAGTGCGAGTCCTTAGCTGACGGTTGGTTTTCAAACATTTCACTTTTGCTCTGCCCTGAGCTGTTCTTGGCCTCCCTGTGAGGTAGGACCACAGCTCATGCTCTTCACTTGATCTCTTCTAAAAGAACACAAAGCTCACATCACTCTGGACCTCCAACAAATTGAAGTACAGTACATACAGTACCAACCTGCCTGCTTGCTACCTGCTCATTGGGCCGGTCAATTTTAGGTCAAACAACAGCGCTTCAAAAAGGGTCAGACCGTTCACGGTGAGTCGTCCACTGAGAAGAGTGCTCTCAAACGGTTATATTTAATTTCTTGTGTGCTTATTTTGATTTCCTTCATTTTCTTTTTTGAAAATGTCTGTATAGCACTTTGAAAACACCGTGGTTAAAACAGCACTATATAAATAAAGATTGATTGGTTGATACACTGGGGTCGATCTTACGCCTGGTCCCGGAGCCTCAGTGAAAGGAATCCAATGAGCGATAATGGAGCGAGCAGGTTGAACCCGTGACAGGCAGGCCCCACCACCCAATAGGAACACAGGGCCACTTCAGCAGTGAGCTGTCAGGTCTGACCATTTTCATACTCACCCGGCTCCTGTGACCCCATTTCAGAAACTCCCCAATCTCACACTATACGGGCATAATTCAAGCCCACGGTTGACGCATGGTGCACAAACCCAATCCCACAAAAAAAGCTGTGCTGCTCTTTTTTGGCATTTCCTGCTGTTAAATGCTTCTCGTGCCTCATATGCATAAGAATCACGGACGGGGAGCCGCTTTGCAGAAGGCGAAGGGGCGCGTAACGAGTTCTCCCACTTCAAGTGAACAGCTAAAGGCGTGACTGGCTAATGAAACATTCCCAGAGCGAATGACCTTTATCTGCTGCTCGTGCTGGAAGAGCCGTGTCCTGTCGCCTACGGAGCTCAAGGAGCCTTTCGGCTGGCGGAGACGGTCGTGGCAGCCTGCCGCCCTTCTTACATCATTTCCTAACAAATAATGACAAAGCTTCTGCAAAGCTGCCTGCGTCAAACAGAAAAACTCAATGAAGTACAGCGTCGCGGCTCCGAATACTGCATCTCCCAACAATGTACCATCCCGGGAAGCAATCCTCAGGTTCCTTTCATGGCTTATTTGTCCCGTAATGCATTATCAATGCTGAGCAATGTCACTTCAACAAGCTGAGAAGCTGCAGGCAAAGCTAAACTACAGAAGAGGAATGAGAGTGGTTCTGGTCACACCATAACCATCTTCCTGACGCACCATCCCTGTCCTTAAACAAACAGCCAGTAATATATTCCTTTTATTAGCACAGCCAGTGGCATTAAGATATCCAGGCATTTTGGTTTACTGCCCATAACTCTGCTGCTCCAATTATCTGTAACTCAGCAAGGAACCTGAAACATCACAAAATCTTATCTCTTATTACTTGGCAAAGTATTCCGTCCTTGAGGGAGATAGGACGGCATAAGCTGACACTGTGAGAGACAGAGAGGCGGCACTGCGGAGAGGGGGAAGCAACATTTACCGTATCGGCACGCTGATGCCAGCTTGCAGTCCAGTATAAGCAGTGCTGTAACGGGCGGGGGTCCGCAGGAAAACGCAACACGGCCCACGACAGATAACGCTGTCTATAGCACTTCCGTAATTTTTCTGTTTCGATAAGGGGTTCATTTCATAATTCTTCCCAGATGCTGCCATTCTCACATGACTCTTATCCTGCCTCAGCATTCAGTAATAGTGTTCAGTTACAGTATATAGCTTACAGTGTACAGTTACAGTGTATCGCTTACAGTGTACAGTTATAGTATACAGGTTACAGTATACTGTTACAGTATATTGCTTATAGTGTACAGTTACATCTTACAGTTATCATGTACAGCTTACAGTGGACAGTTACAGTTTACAGCTTACAGTGTACAGTTACATGGCACACAGCAATACTGAATTAAGCCAGTTGAACTAGGAGGAACAGCGACGCACCCGGCACGGTCTTCAGTGTGTGTACGAGAGCCCAGTCAGCAATGGCACCATACAAGGTGCGATTCCTGTTCAGAAGAGCAGCCCAGGCAAAGGTGGCGGCCCTGCTAGACCCACAACTCAGGCGAATCACAGGGATTAGATCCCAGTGATTCTTTCACTAGTGCTGAAGACTCCATATGTGAGCATTTCAGAGGAACTAAAAGTGACCAATAATGTTTAAACACAAGGAATTTCCAGGAGAACCCCCCCCCCCCCCACCCCACACACACGTCACCTTTCTATCTTTGAATGCGCAGAAAACGCATCCATTCTTTTCGGCCCCCCATGCCCTTCCCAGCACTCACACTCCATAAATAATGCCAGGACGTCCTCTATAACAAACAGCTCACCCTAGGAAGGCTTGAATCAGGGCTCCTGCTGCAGATACTAACACAACAGTTCCATTAGAGTGGAATAAAGCACCACAAAGGCTCTCTCTCAGCAGAAACGTACGGCACGAGCTGCCACATTAACATAAAGCATGGCTCTAACAAATGATTAGCCTCTGTAATCTCCGAGCAGTCAGACACGGCCTAGTGCTGCTCCAATGACCTGTCCGTGGTGATGCATGGCTGTTTCTCGGCCCTGCCTCCAGACTGACGTTCGCTAGAACTGAGAGGTGGCCGCCTGCTCGATGCTCACGCGGCATTCCGGCACGTTCCGGCACATTCCGCGGAATTGCTCAAGGTGAAGGTCGGCTGGGCCATTATCGCACCGTATCAGCACTGCAGTAGGCACTCCTCACCTGCTTATTTTTCCATCCGAGGCAAACTTCCAGTGTCCGTCCTTCTCCCGCAGTCCCCCCCCCTCCCCCTTTTGCTTCCCTCCTCAACCCACAAAACCAAAAACTGAGATGAGGCTCATCTTTCGACAAAGGCACGCCCCAGTGATCTCACTGGGCAGATGGGGAATGCTGCCCGTCACTGGGGTCTGCTGTGCATAATGATGGTCGAGTGGAATCAATCAGGATGACATGGGACGCAGCAGGGCTCAAATAAAGCCCACTGATGTAGAAAATAGACCTGCTGTCTCCTCACCGGTCCACGCAGCTACCTGAGGAGCTCGACTCCACCCGACGCCACAGTCTCTCCCCAAGCTGAGACAGACGCGGCTCCATCAGGGGTCTCTGCTCTTCTGTTGGTTCTTTCTTTAGAACCATAAACACTCACAGGCTCTTCAGTTCTCGGGGACTAAATGGACACCGATGCCGTACGACAGGGACGGCCGGGGACGGATCTTAACTCGTTTCTGTCACACTGTGTATTTGCTTGTCGAGCCTCTGGCTGCATGTTTTAATGCATCTGTACGCGACAAAGCCATCAGCTTCCTTACAGACGGACGTCTTGGTGGAATTACTGCGCCAACCATGTCTTCTTAGGGGGAACCTGTCCCTCACCCGGTGTGTGTGACCAGGAGCATAGCTAGAAAATGTCACCTTGGCCACCCTGTTACGACCCCCCGGTAAATTTTATGGGACCTCAGGGCCCCGATGGCACCTTTTGGGGCCCCTATAAAGTGCTGGACCCAATGAATTTGTCAGGATCTTCACGCCCTTCTGACACCTCTGACGTGTGTGACACGCTATGGTCAGGGAAGTAGTACCAGAGCTAAGAAGAGAAGAAGCCCTGTGCTTCTGGACAGACAGAGAGGCGTCTGACCATGTGTCCTTATCCCATGCTGACCCTGTCTTCAGTGGCAACCCGTGACAAACACATTTCAGCCTGAGTTGCTCTGAGCCAAACGGATGTGTGTAAATCACTCCCCGAATACAGCTCCAGAATAAGGCACGCATTTTGAGAACGCCACAAAACATCTGCAGCTGTTAAAATGACAAGCTACTTAAATAACAGAACGGGAAGGTTGGAGAAAGGACAAAGGCACCCGCAGCCCACCGGGAATTTACCTCTGGTGAGCGTGAAGCAAATTAAATATCTTTATGGCTGGTGACATTTAACACTTTTCAGCTGGCATTTATTCTAAAAAACCAAACAGCCGTCTGCAGCCGATAATGTCCACAGATCCCGACTCGCTCGGCAATCCCGACAGAAATAAACGAGCTGATTAAAAAGCAAATTGCATACAGAGGTCCTTTCCACCCCATCGGAGTGACCTAATGCCGGCATAATGGACTGGAGACCCTCAATCGGCCGGCTCAATACTGTGGAAATCTGAGCACGAGAAAGCCCTAGCAGGAAATGAAGTGTTGATGCAAACAGTCAGGGCAACCAGCTCTAACTGGCCCACTGTAAGCTTTAATGCAGCCTTTTGCCCGAGTTCGTAGCTCAGCGCAGCCTATTGATCCGTGTCTGCAGCAGACCCAGCACCATTAGCTGGCTTGTAGCTATCTCATCAAAGCTTCTGTCACAACTAAGCGTGGAGTCTGCGACCCAAATGGCATGCCGAATTATCACGATGGTTTCTTTGTAAGCATAATTGAAATAAATGCCATTGATCGTTTGGGGAGCCACTTCTTAATTTGTAGGTAAATTTGCTAACGCCAACGGCCCAGGGAGTGAACAACTGGGGGGGGGGGGGGGGATTAGGCTTGGAAAGTTGGCTGCTCCCAGAGTGCAGCAACACGCATGGGCTTAAACCTCAAGGCTGGGCGATACTCGGTGCTGAGCTTCAAATATTTGAAGGCACACTTTCCATTGTGGTATATCACAAAAGTAACTTCATCGTAATAATTTATTGCTCACAGCAGCTCTGGGCTTTACTCCAGCCGTCACTACCTCACAAGCGTTCTCAAGCTTGTCCAAGGTCAGTGGACTCCTGTCAGACCAAAGCAAGGGAACGAGAGTTTATGTTAAACCTGCCCGTTGAAGGTACCTTCGACAATTTTTTTCAACACGGGCTTAAGACTGCTGTCTTCATTCTAAACACTTTTTTAAAAATAGCCATAGGCTAACTCTAACCCATTTTCCTATATTTCCCCCCCAAAACAGACGCGATGGTTTATTCCTGACTTTAATTTAGGCAAGCATGGTTACAGAATGATAAAGCATCACTCAAAGCCAGAGGAGAGACAAAGGAGGACAATGCCTGAATGCCGCGTCTGTGTTAGTGTGTAACTACTTCTGGATGCTAACA